ATCTTACCCATTTTCGGTAATAAGAGAAATATAGTTCTGTTCCGCCTGGCCCACAGACAGTCAGACTTTAAAGTTATCTCCCTTGTTCCCTGAACATTGCTGTTATCCTGTTCTTTTTTCAAGGTGCCCTGATTTCATATTGTTCAAGCACATATGCTGTACAACCAATTTGTGCAGTTAATGCAATTATCACAGGGTCCTGAGGCAACATACATCCTCCTCAGCTTATAAAGATGTTGGGATTAAGAGATTAAAGTAAAGACAGGCATAGGAAATCACAAGGGTATTGATTGGGGAAATGATAAGTGTCCATCAAATGTTCACAATTTATGTTCAGGGATTGCAGTAAAGACAGGTGTAAGAAATTATAAAAGTATTAATTTGGGGAACTAATAAATGTTCATGAAATCTTCACAACTTATGTTCTTCTGCCATGGCTTCAGCTGGTCCCTCCATTCGGGGTCCCTGACTTCCCACAACAGAGAAGAATGTATATTCTATTGTTTTTGGATGGAGAATTCTGTCATGTTCATTTGATCCCATGCTGAGTTCAGGTCCTGAATATCTTTGTTAATTTTCTGTCTCAATCAGTGATCTGTCTAATATTATCAGTCGGCTGTTAAAGTCTCCCACTATTATTGTGTGGGAGTCTAAATCTCTTTGTAGGTTGTTAAGAACTTTTTTTAAAGAATCTAGGTGCTCTTGTGTTGGGTGCATATATATTTAAAATAGTTAAGTCTTCTTGTTGAACTAAACACTTTACTCTTATGTAATGCTCTTCTATGTCTTTTTTTATCCTTTTGAGTTTAGATTCATTTTTCAGATATTAAGATGGCAACCCCTGCTTTTCTTTTCTTTTTCATTTGCTTTCTCGTTTTTTCCACCTCTTTGTTTTGAGCCTATGGGTGTGAGATAGGTCTCTTGAAGACCACATACCATTGAATCTTGGTTCTTTATCCAGTTTGGCACTCTGTGCTATTTAATTAGGTCATTTAGTCTATTTACATTCAAGGTTAGCATTGATATTTGTGAATTTGATTGTGTCATCAAGATGTTAGCTGGTTATTATGCAGACTTGTTTGTGTGGGTGCTTTATACTGTTAGTGTTCTATGTATTTAAGTGTGCTTTTGTGTAGTGACTGTAGTGATTTCTCCTTTCCCTCATTAGTGCTTCTTCCAGGAGCTCTTGTAAGGCAGGTCTCATGGTAAAGAATTCCCTCAGCATTTGCTTTTGTGAAAAGGATCTTACTTCTCCTTTGCTTTTGAAGCTTAGTTTGTCTAGATATAAAATTATTGATTAGAATGTCTTTTATTTGGGAATGTTGAATATGTGTCCCTTAATTTCTTTGGGCTTGTAGAGTTTCTACTGAGAGGTGTGTTGTTAGTCTGATGGACTTCTCTTTGTAGGTGAAGTGAACTTTCTAGCTAGCTTTAACATTTTTTCTTTCATTTTGACTTTGGGGAATCTGAAGATTATGTGTGTTGGGAATGACCTTCTAATGAAGTATCTTACTAGAATTCTCTGCCTTTACTGCATTTGAATGTCAGCCTTTCTAGCCAGGTTGGGGAAGTTCTCATGGATGACATCCTGCAATATGTTTTCCAAGTTGCTTCCATTCTCTCCATCTCTTTCAGGGGCACCAATGAGTAGTACATTTGATCTCTTTACATAATCCTGTATTTGTCAGAGGTTTTGTTTGTTCCATTTCATTTTTTTCCTCCATTCTTGTCTGACTGTCTTATTTCAGAAAGCCAGTCTTTAAGCTCTGAGCTTGGGCTGTTCTGCTGTTAAAATTTGTGATTGCATTATGAAATTCATGTAGAATGTTTTTCAACACTATCAGGGTGATTACATTCTTTTCTACACTGAGTATTCTGTCTGTCAGCTCTTGTATCATTTTATTGTAATTCTTAGCTTGTTTGTATTGTGTTTCAACATACTGCTGCACATCAGTATCTCCATTTCTATCCACATTTTGTCATTTCAGCTATCTCAGCTCAGTTCAGCACCCCTCCTGGAGGGTTAGTGCAGTTGTTTATAGGAAAGAAGGCACTCTGGCTTTTTTAGTTGTCAGAGTTCTTGTTTTTGTGCTGGTTCTTTCTCATCTTTGTGGGCTGATGTTCGTTTAATCTTTGAAATTGCTATCCTTTGGACTTGTTTTCTTTTATCTTTTTTGATGACTTTGAGGGTTTAATTGTATAAGATGGATTCAGTCTGCTGGTTACATTTCTGGAAGACTTCAGGGGGCCAGAATTCAGCTCCCAACTCTTGGCTTATGTGTTCTAAACCTTGGGGACTTGTATCATGCCCTGATTTATATCTCTGGCTCCTTGAGTTTAGGAACCCACTGCACTAGGGGGAGCCAATGTGCTTCTGGACCGCTAGTCACTACACTCTGATGGGTGATGCCTTCCAAAGCATTTCACAGGGTGGTGGCAGTAAAATTCACTGTTGTTCATATGTGCCAGCAGTAGCAGCAGGGCGGCGAAATGCACACTCATGATCTGCATCAGGGTGGTAACGGATTCAAGGGCATTCGTCTCCCCATGGGCATTCACAGCAGCAGTAAAGGCAGGATGGCCCTGCGATTGCAAGGAACCTCCCTTGTCTACTATGTGAATGGTCACACTGGAGGTGATGTTAACAGGGGGTTGGGACACTTGCAGGTGCAGTTCTGTGTGCACCTTCTGTGACTTCTCAGGGTGGAGAAGGGCCTACTGTTCTCGGTGCCTAGTTTCACTCAGGCACAGTGTTGCCACAATGGCAGCTTGTTGGCTGGAGCAGGCATGGGATGCTCTGTGCCTGCTAAGGTCTTGACGCAATGGTGGGACAGGGGAATGGGGTGCACTGCAGGCAGCAGCAGAGCTAGGTCAGGGTACACACACACGTGTGCTGGCGGGGCAGGGAAGGTAAAACTCATGCATACACACACTGGCAAAGGGATGTGGAGGATTGCAGTGGGCCTGGAGAAAGCTGTAGTATGGGGAGTGATACGGCGGACCAGTGCATGGCTGTGGTGCCGCCCCATTGGAGCTCTCTGCCAGTCAGGCACAATCCACCAGTGCAGGAGCTACAACACAGAAACCCTGGGCACCAAGGCTGCCCTGCAAGCAGGCATTACCAAGCTGGGGCCTCAGTAGAAGCCAGTACAACAAGGGATACTCAGGCCAGACTGGTTCTGTCTAATGGGCAAGACTGCTCAGCAGAATTTAGGTTTGACAGCTCTCCCAGTGCTAAAGTCTTCTATGGCAACAAGTTGAGCCTGTGAGGGATGGGCATCCCTGGCCATGCTCCACTACAGATGCTCCCACACTAAACCCTCTGGGCTCTGCACTGGCTGGAGTTCTGCCCCTACCATTTCTCTAAGCAGCTTTCTCTGCCAACTCAAGTGTCTATAGTTGTAGAGGGGTCTATTTCTGCCAGGATTCCAGAGGTCTGTGGGGAGAGTGGGCTGCTCCTTGGCACTTCAAGTCATTGGCTGCCCCAGAGTCACTAGGAGCTCAGAATGAGTCCCTGTGTTTGGTAGTGCCATGCAGGATTCCCAGCTTCCTCCCACTTCAGGCTAGCTTCTGTGTCTTCCCTCCATTCACTCTCCGAGCCTTCCCGTCTGAATATTTGTTAGGAGTGCACCAGTCATCCCCATCCCTCTGTGGGAGCTGTTCCATCTGGCCAATTCTACTCAGTCATCTTGCTCAAATCCACCAGAAGACTCTATAAAAATATATGCTGAGTAATTACGGTAGGATCCTTGTTTCCAGCAATTCAACTTTTAGGCATTCAATAGAAATGACAACGTATGTCCATGTAAACACCTGTACACATATGCTCATTATAACTGTATTATAAGAGCCAAATACCTCAGCAGCCAGCCCCCAACCAGTACATGAGACAATTCAAACTCCCATTTTTTAATTTGATACATATTTTCTTTTTTCTTTTCTTTTCTTTTTTTTTTTGGTGAGGGCAGGGACGGAGTCTCTCTCTGTCACCCAGGCTGGAGTGCAGTGGCGTGATCTCAGCTCACTGCAACTTCCGCCTCTTGGGTTCAAGCAATTCTCTGCCTCAGCCTCCTGAATAGCTGGGATTGCAGGCGCCTGCCACCACGCCCAGCTCACTTTTTGGTATTTTTGGTAGAGATGGGGTTTCACCATTTTGGCAAGGTTGGCATTGAACTCCTGACCTCGTGATTCACCCGCCTCGGCCTCCCAAAGTGCTGGGATTACAGGTGTGAGCCACCGCGCCCGGCTTGATACATACTTTCATTGAAATGTTGGTAAAATAAATGTGGTGTCTTTAGTGGGATAAAAATTTCACACAATTTTTAGATATGTATGTATATATGTGTATATATATACACACACACAAATACACCCACATATATATTCATATTTATACATGTATACTTTATATGTATACATAAAAGATGTTGACAAAATCAGTCAAAATTGACATAAGAAGTCTATTTTGTTCATTTATTTTCAAGATCTATAAATCATTTTACTGAAATTCAACAAATAACACAACAGTCTTTCTAGGTTGGGGGCCACTCTCTGCAAGCCATTTCCCGCACTCTAGAAGCACAGATCTTGCACAGTATTTTTTTTTTAAAGTTACCTCTATATAGAAATCAGACGCTGCCACGACACCATCATGAACTATTTACAAACCTTCACATTATAGTATTCCTTTTATGCTTTTTCCCTCCTTTCTTTTCATACCCAGCAGCTCCAGTACTTTCCCTTGACTCATCCTGAAGGGGTGGAGGTTACTGTAGGGGAAGGGGTGGTAGGCTACTCATAACTACTGGCACCAGCCTTAGGACGTTGTCCCTTACCACAAGGTGGTGAATAGTCTCCTCCCAATTGGAGGGGTGGAGGACTTGGTGCAAAGACATGGGGGATTAGACAGAATAGGTGAGTTGGAGTAACTCCCTAATAGGCACAAGCATCTGCAGCCTGTCCTGACCCCAGCCTGCACCCTCTTAACTCCTCAACTGGGGATGGGGGAGCAAAAACTAGTTGCAGTAGGGGGATCAGCCCAGCCCTGGGTAGAAGGTGAAGCCCCCGCCCAGTCCCCACTCCTATCAACAGCCAGCAAACTGTCCATCCATCTGAAGGCGGGAACAGATGGCAGGTAGGTGGGAAGAATCAGGCTGGCACTGCCCCCAGCCTCTGTCCAACACAGGAGAAATTGAAGTAGCAAATGGCTGAAATGCTTTGACTAGGGGTTAAAAGGGAAGTGAAGGAAACGAAGTTCCTACTTGTATACAGCACCCACAGCCTAGGGGCTGGAAGAAGGCAGACCTTGCTAGTAAAGTGCTATAGCCTCTAGCAGGGTTAGGCCCCAGGCAAACTTGGAAGAAAGCAGACCAGGCAAGGAACCAGGTACTGGGCATTCCTGACTGGTATATGCCCTTCCATGCTTCTTGCAGGGGTGGCTGGGGAGAGTAGGCGGATAACTCTGCCATTAGCCTTCACCAGCCACCAACCACCTCTTGTCCGCACACAAACCAACACCCAACCAATACCGCAGGACTGATCCGCTCACAGCTGAAGGTAATGTGCCAACAGAGGTTATTCAGAGTCGTGGCCCCAGCCTAGGCTCCTCAATGGAAGCCACACCTTGAGCCTGGGAGTTTCTTGCTGGAGCAGGAGGTGCTATTGTCTGCTACTTCCCAGGCTCACACCTCATAGAAGGTCACAGGGAAATCCATGTGGATTGTGGGGGTGGGGGTGGTGGTTCCAGGAAGTCTATTTTACAGTTAAATAAAACTGAGTAAAGCAAATAATAATAAATAAAAACAATGGACTATCATAAGTGACTATTTTATTATAAAATATTGTAAATTTGGTATATTAAAAATGCAAGATGAAATTTTTCCTACTTTGATAGAATAACTGGTAGTGGACTTGACCTCCTTTCAGAAAAAGTTATAAAACTAGAAAATACAGATAAAATACTGTTTGCAGACATTGGCAAACATGCAGGATAGAACTGTAATCAGTGAAGGAATAAAAGAAGGTAAGCACCACAATACCCCAGACAGAGAAAGAGGAAAGGTAAACTCAGGAAAACACCAGTAATCTCCCTGGATTGAAAAGACCAGAATTGAAATTTTAGAAAGTTTAGATGGCTAAACTTTGGAATTTGTGGAATAGAGTACCAGAGTTGAAGAAATAGCATGGAGGAAGAGCTTCACAAATCTGCATAGAAAAGCCTTTGAACTTTTTGCTCAATAAAAAGCTGTGCATGCATAAGATGAAATTCCACGAGGTAAGACATAACTGGAAAGTCCTGACTTGAATCATTCCCAGAAATTACACAGGGTGGGGAAACATTTAAATCCTGGCCAATCAGGTTGAAAAAACTCTTTGTATGATAGATTTTTCAGTAGAGAAGAATTAAACTGATCTGTAAGTAACTTAACTGCTTGTCTAAACATAATTCAAATCTAGTTAATGTAGGACAACAAATTTAGACATTCAATACCATAATATTCACAGATATCTACCATACAGTAAATTATTAAATATGCAAAGAAGCAGAAAATTATGATCCATAAAAGTAAAGTGATGGAGAAACATATGCCATGCTAACAACACGAACAAGAAGAAAGCGGCAGTAACTACATTAATTTCAGACAAAGCGGATTTGAGAGTAAGGAAAAATCTCGAAAGTAAAGAAGGGCATTACATAATGATAAAATAATCAATTCTCCAAGAAGATATAACAATTCTTAATATGTATGTGCTTAACAACGAGCATCTAATATGTAACTATGTCTCAAACAATGAGTCTGATTGTGTCTCGTAGAAAGTGTGGCAGGATTTGGGTCCAAATTAACACGTGATATTGTACTTTTCAGACTCTTTTGCTTTTTTCCAGTCTTAGCATTCAGTTAGCCGGTAGCATCAACCCCTACTATTTACTCCATGTGGGTGAGGTAGGGCAGGACATTATGGCTATTTCTGTTCCATGGGGTTTTAAATTAATATTAAACATTCCTATGTCTTCTTAATATGTTAAAATACATTCTCTATCATATTTATGGTGTGCATGTGCAAGTATTTTAAAGAGAACTCACGGAGTCACTAGAATTGAAATGCCTCCTCAGCGTTTAACCTTTAGTTTTCGTCAAGATTTGAACTACAGAAGTTTACCTAGGCAATCTCTTCCTAGTCTATAGCACATGCAGCTGGTTTTATAAAGCAAATATTCAAATAAAATTTGTTATATTTTCTCCGAAATACTTCACAACAGACACTTCTATAGCATGTAGTTAGAAAAAAAAAAGGACCTAAATGAAAATCAATGTACTCTTTAACATTCTCCTGAGACATTTTTATAAACAGATATTAAAAGGTCCTAAGATGGTGTGTGATAAGTATGTGTGTGCATGTAAAAGGTAAACCTTTTGGACTTATCTGTTGTAGATTTAAAAGGCAGGCTCTCTCTAACACACACATACACCCCCATACCGACATACACTCTTAGGTTTCATGCCACAATATTGTCATCATTAGCCTGTGTGCAAGCTAAGCTATGAGGGAATCAATATATCCTTGAGAGATTGTACTTATTTTATGCTTGCTTCTTCTCCTATCTTCATAGGGTTTGTCCTGAGTGTTCTATAGAATTTATGAATTATCTATTTCATATAAATATGAGCTAATTATTTCTTTTTCTTTTTTTTAATGTAAACTGTTGAGAAATGTTTCCAGTTTTGTGGGTACGATGAAAAAAAAAAAAAAAGAGTATAGCAGAACAATGAGAAGTTGTATATCAAAGCAAGGTAACTGGTATTATTGCGTCAAACAAAATTTTCTTAGTAAACGGGTATTGTCTTTGTGGTAAGCATGTGGCATTAACAATGAGAAAGGGCAAGTTAAAATATATAATTAGTTATTGAACCAAAGTATGAAACAATGTGTCCACACAAATTTAAGGGATAGATTGTCTGTACTATGCAATTTTGTTCCTTAAGTGTAAAGAACACAAAGATGATAAAAATGTTAATCTTTGTAACCATTAAAATCATGCTGTTAGTGGTTTCTTTTAGAAATAATGAGAGACCTGGTAATCGTGGCCTTGTATTTTCGAATGGAAATAATTAACTGCAGCAGAGCAGCAGTGGCATTTTGGAAATGAAACCATGATCTTTGTAGTAAAATACAGTTTAGCGTTATTTCCACCACTCCTTATTACATTCCTGACACTGAAAGATTTTTAAATCACTTTTCGGCATAGTATCATGAACCAATTAAAATAAAAAGATGCTGCTGATAAAAGTTAAGTAATTATTTGGAGGATGAACTAAATATTAGGAAAAAAATCAATTTGAAGTTTTCACAAGCAGGAAAAAAGTGCAAGAAGTAATTGCTAACTTTCAAGATTGCAATATATTATGGATCACAAAAGCACTACAAAATTTTTAAAAACTGTCCATTCAACATTTGCTATAAATTATAATAGTCACATGATTATTTCTGAGTCTTCATATGTCAATGACCATTTCATATAATGCTTTCAGGCTATGGAAACATAGAAAATACAGTGTGTTCATGAAAAGATTGCATTATTTTATTGTGGAAGAAACTATGGGAATGTTTAGCTATTTGTCCCTTGAGTATGCTGCTCCGTCCCACATAAGCTCCTTTCTATCCTTCAAGCAAAGTGTTTATATTAACTTTGTCCTATCAACAATTTCTATCTCTTGTTGTTCATTGATATATCATGTTTCTCATTTGAGAAGAATTAATATGCAGTATTCATTCAGTATATGGAATATTTCATGTTATTATTGTTCCTTATCATTGAATATCTCTTGTAATGTTCCTGGGGTGAACAGCCAGGGTAGTAGTGAAATAAAAATTGGCCAATTACTAACAGCTCAGATGGTTGAAACTCGTGGTTGAGATGATTATCTGTGTAGCTTAATTGTGTGATCTCCTTGGACCTCCTTCTGTAGGTAATTGAAAATCTGCTATGTGATTTCTTTAGCATAAATACTATATTCAGCTGTTAAATCATGTTGCCAAACTTCATTTTTTGTTTCTTGCTCTTAAAAGGGAATGCTAGTAGAAGAGGTTTGTTGTAATGTAACTCAGTTCAGTTGTTTAAGTGTGTTTTTCAGATGTAAACTGTTTAGGTGATTTCTGAAACTAGGTGACTCAAAAGTAGATTTTTATAATACTATGTCAAAATTACTGCATACCTGCTTTAAAGCAAAAGAACATACTGCATCTTGTTTTAGAAAAAAACTTTTGAAACAATAAGTACTCTGAGCATCTAAAAGGACAGTTTAAGCAAATTTTTTTTTACTTTAAAAATTTATGCAAAACGTCAAAACACAGCTGCTTTTCCTCAGAGATTGAATACTATTTGGCTGTGTATTCCTTGGCAAGTTATATAAGTTTGGGTTTCCTTGAACCATTAGGATTTAATGACAGCTTCTTTATACCACATTCACTTTAGGGAACAAAATCCCTCGAAAGTACAGAATTTGGGAATGCCAGGAAATCATCTTTCCTTAAATATAGCTACCAATTGATGAACCCAGATCTTTCTGTTATATCATCAGTACTTTATCAAGCTCAAATTACACTAAATTACTGTTCAAATCATCCTAAAAGGAGACACTAGCTGTCAATTAAATAAACCATTAGGTTTAATGTAAAATGAGTTACATGGGCACCATTAATCAGTTTTCGTCTTATTGCTGAGCTCTATCTGATTTCTACAGCCATTTTGCCAAAGTAATTGGTGGATTTTATTATGAAGACTGGACAACTCCACTTTTAGTTTTATGTGTTATTTTATTTAAACAGTGTTAAAATGCATAGATGTAACTAGGAGAAGGTTAATAGAGACAATATAGAATTCTTTTTTTTTTTTTTTTGAGACGGGGTTTCGCTCTGTCGCCCAGGCTGGAGTGCAGTGGCCGGATCTCAGCTCACTGCAAGCTCCGCCTCCCGGGTTGACGCCATTCTCCTGCCTCAGCCTCCCGAGTAGCTGGGACTACAGGCGCCCGCCACCTCGCCCGGATAATTTTTTGTATTTTTTAGTAGAGACGGGGTTTCACCGTGTTAGCCAGGATGGTCTCGATCTCCTGACCTCGTGATCCGCCCATCTCG